ACAACTACAAGCAATCACCAAAGCACAGCAGGGATCCGAAGATGTGTCGGTGGTATGATGTTGAACCGTATTACTGGGACTGTCCAAGCTGTAAGAAGGAATATCAGAAGAGCAATCCTCACCACACCAAGATATCTGGCCAATGCAGATTCGCCGAAAAATGGAAGCTGCCAGATAACTTTGGCCAGCCGCGCCCGGCGGGGCAAGCCGCTCCTGCGGCGCCAGCCGCGGAAGCGGCTCCAGCCGCAGAAGCGGCGCCAGCCGCAAAAGCGGCGCCGGCCGCGAGAGCGCGCATACGCGCGCCTAGGCCGCCACGGCCTGGTGAGGGCGATCCAACCGCAGGCGCCAGCAGCCATGACATCACCAGAGCCGACGGGGCTAATGGTGGCAACAGTGGCGCTGGCAGCTCTGACGATCACCGTAGACTGCCACAAGTTGCAGCAAGGCGCGGACGCATGGAGGGAGGAGATCCTCCACCACCGCCGCAGCCTCAAGCAGAGCCGAGGCCAAGGCCAAGGCTCCCTGATTGGACTCGCTTCGACGTTCAGCTCAGCCTCCAAAACCTGCGCAGCTTCGACCCAGCTGTAGTGCAGCGAGAACTCCGCAAACTCCACCTGAGATGGTTTCATGCCAAGGAGCCAAAAATGCGGATGATTCTAACCAAGGTTGGTCTGGGTGAAACCCGTTTGAGTCTGATCAAAGGCATTTGTGACTCGTGTAGAGAATGTCGAGCCTGGGACAAACCAGGCAACACGGTGATGCCTTCTGTGTCACTGCCAGGACGTTTCAACGAGGAAGTCGAATGTGATCTTTTCTTTTACAAACAGGAACATATTGTTTTTCACATCATCGACCGTTGTATTCGCTGGGCAGCTGGCACAGAGATTCCTGATAAAACCATGCATACTGTTCTCGATGCCTATCGTACAACTTGGATGCAACATGGCCCTGCTAAAATCTTATACTCCGATGGGGAAGGAGCACTGAACAATGATACAGCAAAGGCCATCCTTAAGGCTAAGGGAACAGAGCTTCGTATTCGAGCGCGTGGCCAACACGCTACAACTATCGAAGCTAGGAACGGCATCCTGCGACACCTCTTACACGTGATGGGAGAAGAATTGAATATATTAAATATTCCTCTCAATTTCACTCGTCTCTTACATGAAGCCTTGTTTGCCAGCAACGCATTTACCTTCTACAATGAAGTGTCTCCGTACAATGCGCTGTATGGCAGACAACCAGCTATGCTTCCCGATTTCCCTGTCTTGGATTATGATCAGTCCGCTGAATCATCAGATCACTCAAGGGAGGAAACAATCAGGAGGGTTAGTCTGGAGGCAATCACGCAGGCCACTGCGGTTGCCAAGACAAACAGGGCTCTCCGTACGAAGACTACTGCTACGGGTGAATTTCACTACAAAGAGGGAGATCTCGTGGACTATCATCGCCCGACCACCACGAAAGACGACTGGGGTGGATGGAGTGGTCCATACCCGGTCATCCGCAACGAACCTGACCGAGGCCAGGTCATCGTGAAGGTCGGCAGTCGCGAAGTGCGAGTACAGTATCCTGACACACGACACACGCTGTACATCGAAGCACTTATGGTCCGCGAGATAGGATCGGACAATACGGCCCTTCGGACAGTATTGGCCTTTATTGCCGGTCTGCCAGCGGGGAAACCCGCCATGACTTTCGGATATCTACCAGCGAAACAGGGTCGGCTGCAGATGACTGCTGCGAGCCGACTTTCGCCTAAGGTGCACTTGGCTCTTCAGTACCTCATACGCAACTACTTTCGTATTGAAAACGTTGTTGCTGTACGACTTGCCAAGAGCCTGACGAAGTTGCCTGCTGCACCCTATGCAGACAGCTGTACACTAGTGCACTATGATAATGATGTGACCCCTGGTTTTCATTACTATGAAGCTGATGGCACTGCCTTGAACATCTATGACATCACAGGATCTACACACTCACGCATCATCCAGTGTCTTAAATCCAGGAAGCCGTCTGCTGGATTTGACCAAGACCTCACTAAGTTTGAGGAACTCGCTGATGGTCCACCACCAAGCGAATCACCTCCAGCAGCTGCTCCTGAGGAGCCTCCTACGGATAACGATGGTCGGCTCCCGACCATCATAGAGGAAACAGAAGAAGATCTGGATGCTTTTGTCTTGAAGTCGTGGTATGCTGAACTGATGGATGACAGAACACTCCTTGAAGCTGACACAGAGGAAGTCATGCATACAGTTCCCACATACATGACAGACACACAGTGTGTGTTAGTCTCTACGACCTGTGAAGATGTGCAAGGCCACTTGCCGGAGCGGGGTCACCCGCCAGGATACGACATGGACACTTCTTACTACGTTCCTTTATGCTCCACGGATCCGGATAGCAAATATGATCTGGACTCCGATGAGCACGGGAAGTACATCGAGCTCTGCTTCACTGCAGACATGTCCAAAGTCGTCCTGTCCGAGCAGCAACACCGACTGTTGGATGACAGCAGCGTCACAACTATGCGAGTATACGTTAGCGCTGCCTCCAAACGTGCCGTGGTCGTCAAGGAAGACGATCTACTCACGAAGGCCGACATCCAAGCAAATCCGGTCAAAGTTTCCAAAGCCCTCTACACAGAATTGAAGACTTGGCTTGACAACAAATGCTTCCAGATGACTGACTTAAGCAAGGCGTCTAACATCATGACGTCACGCTACGTATACAAATGGAAGTTTGTCAAGAACGAAAAGGGCGAAATGGAAAGGACGATCAGGTTACGCTTGGTACTCCGTGGCTTCATGGACCTTGAAGCCTTTGATGTCGAAACCTTCTCTGGCACGGCAAGGAGGTCAAGCCAGAGACTGCTCGCAAGTTCTGCTGCATGCAACAAAGCTTGGATCATCGCTTCCCTGGACATCAACATGGCTTTCTTGAAGGGACTGACCTATGGCGAGCTCGCCGCGGCAACGGGCGAGAAAGAGCGTGTGGTGTGCTTCACACTACCACCTGGGTCAGCAGCTGTCCTTCGCACACTGCCAGGCTTTGAGTCATATGACGAATCAAAGCATTGTCTCCGGTGTCTGAAACCGGGGACGGGCACGAAGGATGCTCCCAGGGCATTCTCGCTGAAGCTCAGGTCCATCACTAGGAGCTTTGGGCTACAGCCTACTTCATACGACGAAGAGTTCGAGATGAGCCCAAACCTCTTGACAGCCAAGCACGTTGATGACATCAATATGACTGGGAAGGAAGAGGCTATTGACAAGTATGTCAAGTGCGTTGAAGATACGTTTGGGAAGTGCAAACTGAACAAGCACACATACACAAACTGTGCCGTTCGGTACAACAAGACCGATGATGGGAGCGTCACTCTCGATCAGGACGAATACATCAAACAGCTTCGTCCTATCACACATCCAGAACTCACAGGAGCTGATCCTGAGAGCAAAGCGACAAAGACGATTTCTGATATGTTCGTCAGTCTTCGTGGCGCTCTAGCCTATGCGTTGATCACGCAGGTATGGCTGATGGTCTATGTTGTCTCACTACAACGTATCCAGGAACCGACAAACATCCAGGTACGACGACTAAACGCGGTTACCAGAAAGCTACAGGCAGGTCCGAAGAAGATCGTGTATCAAGCTATGACCCCAACAGGAGAAGTCGACCTGCATAGCGATTCTGGCTATCGTCGTCTCAACGGAGATGAAGACGACGAAGTCAAAGGCTATGGTATCCGCGGGGCTAACCTGCTGAGGCGTGGCCACACGCAAGCGGGGAAACCCGTCGTGCACCTGGTGGACGCATACTGCAAGTCTCATCGACTGCAGGTGCGTTCGAGCTACTCTGCGGAAACACTGGCAGCAGCCCACAACTTGGAAGACTGCTACCCGACCATTGTAACGCTCCACGAGCTACACTCGGGACCATTGACCCCCACACAGTTAAAGAACATATTGGAAATGGGTGGTCTATGTATCAAAGTCACTCTGACTATTGATGCCGAGTCTGTCTTCAAGTCTTTGTCTAGCAAAGATCTGAAGAAGCCCACAGAATGTACTCTGCTTGGGCACATCAGCTGGATCCGCCAGATGATGGAACGCGGAATCGTGGAAAGCGTCCAATGGTGTGACACGCGGGATATGACTGCCGATGGTCATACCAAAGGTAGTATTGACCGCGCGTTGCTCCTACAAGTAATGGCCGGCCAGCAATCCTTCAAGCACGAGCTGAAGAAACATACGCCGTATAGGGCGGGCAGGTCGTCTCAGGACGGCCCTGCCTCCCGAGCCAGCGGGGAAACCCGCGGGCAGGTGCGCTTTAGTAGCGAGGAAACTCGCCGGTAGCGAGGCTACTCGCGCGCCCTTTCCTTGTAGGCAGCCGCTGCTGCTTAGCACTGTTTTTTCCGCATAATGTAGAAGTGCGGTACCTGCTCGTCTCCTCCCCCTCCGACTTTAAACGGAGAAGGTTAAAGGCGAGGTATAAATCGAGCATGTACCGCTGCCGTGCCTGGCTCAAGCCGGGCCCGGCCAAATATATGACTGTGCCTCACTGAGGCGCACGACTTGCATCAGAGATCGGAAAATACCTTTTCCATTGACGATGCCCATCCTATCCTTTACTCCAGATCCCATGCTTCGTCTTGCTCTCTTGCTCATGCGATATGAGCCAAAGCCTGGGATATGGCAACGCTTAAAGCGTAACACATACCTAAGCTTACCAGCTTGTTTTCGACTATCAAAAGGAAGGGGCTTCCTTTCGACTCAATTACAACGGGCCTAGGGAAAGGAGAGGGGAGCGGCGAAGGCGACGACGACGACGACGACGACGACGACGACGAGTTAAACGGAACAGCCTCTTCCACGCGCCGACATGGTCGGCGGATTTCTGGGATGCGGTCCTGAAGTACGATGGGAGTAGCGTCACGGTAGCCGTTGGCCAGGCGGGCAGATAGGGGCCTGGGGGCGGCCCAGGGCGGCCGCCGCCCCGAGGTGCGTGCAGGAGACGTGCAGCGCCTTCGTGTCGGTCGGGCACCGCGAGAGTATCGAGGCCTTCCACACCGGCAAGCTGACGCTGCTGGGCGAGGGGCAGCAGGACCGCGGCCATCTTGGTTTAAGTCGGGAGGAAGATTCAAGAACAGTCGAACAGTCGTCTGCGGACGATCTTCCGACTATTTTCGACAATTTTGGGGCATGCTGGGGGTATGTTGCATTTGTCCTTCAAAAGATCCGCCTGCAGGGGGACACGCCCAACCTGAATCTTTGCTGGGTCGGGCGCAGCGGGGGGGGCGGGGAATGGGGAAGCGGGGTCCTTGGTTACCGAGGTGGTTGCAGCCGAGACGCCGAAGCACAGAGTAGATTTGGGGTTCTCGGGAGTTGCTCGCTGTGCCTCGGGCCCTCTCCGCGGCCGCTTGTCTGGCGCTCCTTGGGCGCCCGGGCGCCAGCAAGACGCTTCGTGCCTTCTTTAGCCCGCCTTCTGGTGGCATCTTCACCCGACGAACAAAAACGCCATAAGCATAAGCTCTTGGCGCTCCGCGCGGATCTCTTGGATCCGCGCTGGGCCTCCCCTCCCGGCAGCGCCTCCGGCGCCGCCTTTTGGCGCGTTCCGCGCAAAGCGGGGGGAGCAGGGGAACGCCTGTAAGTAGGGTGTGCTCGTTGTGAAGGCGGGTCTGCCGACCTAGGCTTTCAAGTCACGGCGTCGACGACGAGAGCAGCGTCGACGGTGAACGACGACGGTGACGGCGGCGGCGGCGACGGCCGAGCATGCTGGGCGAGGAGCAGTAGGAGCGCGGCTTCTGGTTTGCAGTGCGGATCCTCCGTTCCCTTGCATGAAGGATTGAATGATTTAGCTTCGAGGTTCGATGGGGTTCGGGAGAGGCGACGACCTCGTCGCCGCGGTCGGATCAGCTTCGAAATTCTGACCAGAGCGCACCCAAGGGCAGGCTTGGTGGTCCATGTGTTGACTCCCGAACCTGGGGTTACTACCTAGGGGAAACTCCGTCCTGAAGGAATTGGGCCCTGGAATGTTGTGCTCTGTTTTCGGGCTGCCGTGACCAGACCCCGATTCGACCATGAAAATGTCTCTTTCATGCGGGTCTCCCCCTCGCCCTGCTCGCCTGCCTGAGGCTGCCACCAGGCACCAGGACGAGAGTAGGAGGAGGAGCACGAGTAGGGAGAGCAGCGGGCGGACGAGCAGCACGGAGCAGCAGTGGCAGTTGCAGGGGATGGACGAGAGGTGGTGGAGATGATGGGCCACATGGGGGAAGACGTGTGAGGGAGAAACATGAGGAGGAGGGATAAGGAAAATGCAGGGAGGAGGAATGAGTGAGGAGCGACAGAGAGTGAGTATGATGAGGAAGAGAGGGGTGCATGAGGCGGAGGAGGCGGAGAGCTATGGGGTGTGTGTGTGTGTGATAATGAGGATGAAGAGGGGGGAGGAGGAGGGGGAGGGGGAGGGGGAGGGGGAGGAGGACAAGCTTGGTGCGCTCGCGTCATATCTGACGTCCCACCCCTCCCTCCCATCCTTTACCATACCGTCTCTCTATTCGCACGGTCGGATGTCGTAGCAGGGCATCGCATTACATTGCATAGCATGGTGTTGAAGCTCAACGCGTAGCATGACATAGCATGGGGTGGCGACGCCTCAAAGTTGGGGGGGTTCTGCGGACCCAAAAAATCAACCGATCGGCGTCGAATGTGTGATCACGTCCGATGGTTTCTTCGGGGGGGCATTTGTTAGATTTTGGGGCCTATTTGGAAGGACGGAAAACCACGGCGTGGCATGGCACTGGATCTAATGACGCCAGCGCTGCAGCGGGAGCACGATTCGGAACTAGCGGAAGCGCGGAAATGAGTCCAGCGTTGCAGCGGGAGCACGATTCGGAACGAGCGGAAGCGCGGAAATGAGGCCAGCGTTGCAGCGGGAGCACGATTCGGAACGAGCGGAAGCCCGACAATGGGGCCAGCGCTTCAACGGGAGCAACATGTGGGAAAAAACCCAAGCGAAACCCATTTTCCCCGGAATGCTGTGTTTAAAAAAACAGTATGCGGAGGTGGGCCGGATATTTTCTGGACGTCCTCGGGGGAGAGAGGAGAGTAGTATTCATATTGTGTAACTGTGGCGGAGGAGGAGGACAAGGAGAAAGAGGGCCATGAGCAGCCGCGCTGGTTAAAAAACAGCTCCTTCAGGGGCAGTGGACTCTGGAGCCGCTGTGACGCAAAAAGGTTGCTTGGCTCTGTCCCGTTCCGCGCGTCTCTGTTGTAGGGGTGTAGTGAGCGATTTCCGTAACCCTTTTCAACGCGGGTTCTTTGGCAGGTGTCATTTGATGTTCGCTGGTGGATGCCACATGCCTTCCTGCATGCAACTGTGCATTTGCCAATGGCACAGGAATCATGCGAGTTGATGTTTGTTGCCGGCTGATGCGTGAGAGATTGCTCCAGGGATTGCGTTCCGTGGGGATGAATGCACAGGGGTCGTGCTTACAAGCGCGCGCGTATGTTTATATGTTTTTATACTTTAAGCAGAGCATCGCCTTGGCAGCGCGCATTCACTTCTCACGCGGGATATTCCCTTGACACGTTCAGTAGTTGCACGCAGCGTGGTTACCCATCGACGTTGGCGCGTGCATTGAGGGATCTCTCACAGGGGAGGTATCCTTGACACTGCCAGCGCATATTGTACAGAGCGTGGTTCTGATCGAATTGGAGCGCGTGCCAACGACAAGTATATATATATATATACATATATAATATATATATATATATATATATATATATAATATATATATATATATCCCAGAAGAGCAGGCCCGGGGCCCGAAAACAGCTGCCCTCCATGGGGGTACCTGGGCTCATTTTCCCTTATGTTTTTACAGGGTTTCCGCGTCCTGGGCCTCGGAGGCCGCCGCCTCCGACCCCCCATGGGAGGACGGGGCGGCCATGGAGGTCCAAAATAGTCCAGGAGGGCCTCCAGAGGTTCCCAAGACGGCCCAAGCGGGACCCGAGTCCCCGAAAGACCGCTCCAGAACGCCCAAGATAGGCCCAAGACGGCCCGAGAGGCCCCCCAAGGCACTCCACGACGCTTCAAGACGCCTCTCCAGAGCGCTTCAAGAGGCCGAAATCGTCGATTTTACGAAGGTTTTCGAACGCTTTTGGCCTTCCAGCCTTTTTGGCTGTCCGACGTTCCAAGACGGCTCAATAGGCCCCCAAGAGCGCCCCAAGACGGCCCAAGAGGGCCCCAAGACGGCCCCAGAGTCGCCCAAGACAGCCCAACAGAGCCCCAAGACGGCCCCAAGATGCGCCCAAGAGGGGGACCACGACTCCAAAATTCGACCCTCCCGCTTGAAGAGTGCCCCAGGAGGCCCCAAGGAACCCCTAAGAGGCCCCAGGAGTCCCCCAAGAGGCACCCAGGAGGCCCAAACGAGGCCTAAAGAGGCAACAAAACAGCCCCGAGGAGGCCCCACAGCGGTCCCAAAACGGCTACCGAGAAGCTGCGACACTGCCTTCACGACGTCCCCGACAGGCCAACAACGAGATCCAAACCATCACCCATGAGGCCTCTGACCCACCACCCAGGGCACGGTGGTGGGAGCAGTGACAGCACTTGTGCTCAGCATGTTCCGGCGGGAGCCTTCCGGAACACGCTGCAGGAGGAGGAGGAGGAGGAAGATCAGGAATAGAGAGAGCTGGAGTGGGAGGAGGAGGGGGACGAGGAGGAGGAAGAGGCCTCCAAGACAGCTCCAAGATAGCCGAAGAGGCTTCCAAGAGGGCCCTGGGCGGCCCACGAGGGCCCCAAGGCGGTGCCTGAGGCACAACTCAATGTTTTACGATTGGGCTTTGACGGGTTTTCTTTTTTTCTGCCTTTTGGCATCCCGATGCTCCACGACGGCCCAAGAGGCTTCCAATACCGCTCCCATATAGAGGAGGGCCCCAAGACGGCCCGCGAGGGCCCCAAGACGGTGCTTGAGGCGCCCAAGACGGCCCGAGAGGGCCCCAAGAGCCCCAAGAGAGGCCCAAGAAGGGGAACGCGACCCAACAGCAGAGCGTTCCCCCCAAAAGGCCCAGCGGAGGTGGGTCCCACGCGGATCACCTCGGGACCTCGCCGCCCCTGGGGGGCTTGCGATTTTTGCACTTGTTGCCGCTTTCGTGGGCTCCTGGGAGGCCCAGCGGAGGTGGGTCCCACGCGGATCACCTCGTGACCTCGCCGCCCCCTGGAGGGTTTGCGATCTGCGCAACTGTCGCCACTTTCGTGGGCTCCTGGCAGGCTCACCGGAGGTGGGCCCTATGCGGATCACCTCGAGACTGCGCGCAAGACGGCCCGAGAGGGCCCCAAGAGCCCCAAGAGAGGCCCAAGAAGGGGAACGCGACCCAACAGCAGAGCGTTCCCTCCAAAAGGCCCACAGGAGGCCGCAAGAGGCTCCGAAGTGGTCCGACGAGGACCCCAAAAGCTTCCCGAGGGCCTAAAAGGCCCCTAGGAGACGTCCAAGAGGCTCTTAAATAGCCCAAGAGTGCCCTCGATGCGTCAAAACTGCTTCCAGGAGGCCCCCGAGCGGCTTCCGGATTACCTCAATCTGGCCGCAGGTGGCGTCAAGTCGGGCCTCCACGCAGCCAAGACGGCCAATGACGGCTTCAGATTGTAGAACCGATGCCCCCAAGGGACCCTCAGACGCCCCCCCAAGAAGCACCCAAGAGGTGCCTCCAACAGCCAGTTGACGAAGCATGCGGAACACCCCAGTCAAGTGCCCCCCCAGCCTGGGCTAGAACCTGAGCGCGCGCTCAGGATGGCCTGGACAGTATGCCCGGGCCCGGGCATACTGTCCTGAGTCCTGAATGGATGAGCATCTAACCCAAATCCACAATTCCTGGATTCCTTGGGGCCTTCGGAGACTCCGCGAAAACGTTAAGAAGCCGGGAGGCGCGGTACCGGCCAGATGTCAGGGGATCTGTAGGACCCCCGAGTAAGAGTTCCATTTTGATGTAAAAAAGTAATTCTTGGAATTCCCCTTTTTTTTCCAAATTCTCGATCTTTGAGGGCTGGAAGCGGGAAAACGTGCGAAGGCGAAAAACATATGAAAAACCATGGGAAATCAACGATGTTACCCTCTTTGGGCTCTCTCGGGACGTCTCTAGCAGCTCTCTTGGGCTGTTCTTGGAGCCTCGTCGGGGTCTGTTTGGGGCAGCTCAAGGATCGGGGGTGTGTTGGGGGCCTCTGAGGGGTCCCGGAGGCCTCTCAGAGGTCTCTGGAAGCCTCCTGCTCCCGCTCTTGGGCCCATCTTGGGCCTGTTCTGGGGTGGTCTGGGGCTGTGCTGGGCGCCTCTTCGGCAGTCTTGGAGCCTTCTTGGCCCGTCTTGGGGCCGTCCTGAGGGTCTCTTGGGAGGTCTTGGGCTGGTCTTGGGAGGCTTTTCGGCGCTCTTGGACCGTTGGAAGCTCGAAAACGCGAGAAGCCAAAAACATTGAAAAGACCATTGAACATTGACGACTTTGGCCTCTTCGGGCCGTACCGTGATACCTATCAGACTTCTTGGGGTCTCTTGGAGGCCACCTGGGAGCCTCGAGAGCCGTCGGAAGGCTGACTTGGGCTGCTCGGGAGCGTCTTGGGCGATCCTTTCGCATTCTGGGGGCTCCTGGGGGGCGTCTTGGGCCCTCCTGGAGCGCTGTGGAGGCTCCCCGGAAAGGTTGGGGGAGCGGTGCCGGGAGCGTCCCCGAGATGTGGCCATATCTTGTCAGGGCGCCCACGTCCGAGGACGTTGGCATGGGAAACCGCAGCGCGTGATCATTCCAGCGCGTTCCGGCGCAGACCGTCCGGAACGCGTTCAGGCAGTTTGGGATGCTCGGGGCAAGAGGCGGAAGCCATCTTCATAAGACATGCAGTCTTCCTGGGGTCCGCCGGAACGCCTGTAATTGTCGTCACTTTTGGGCTCCTGAGGCCTGAACGTTGGGGAAAGTGTCAGGCGGGAGGCTCGTCCGTGAGTGAACTGAATTGCGAGGGCGTCTCAGGCGGGAGCACTCTCGTTAGGGGGTGTTTCTAATCCGGCGCTTCTGGGGCTGGAATATTGGGGAAGTATCAGGTGGGAGGACTTTAAAGGTAGATCTTTGGGAGATGTTATAGATAATCGGGAGTGTCGCCTGCGCGTCGCTGTCTTATGGCTCAAGGCACGCGCGCCCTATTAGCCCGGATACCTGACTTGGTATTCGCTATGTGCTGGAAAGATCAGCACATCGATATTATCCTATCTTGCTCATCCACACCCCATATCGTATTCCTTCGACATGGAATTGGATGCAATATGACCTACCAGAGTCATTTCAGACTTGGTAGCGGAGCTGGCCGCACTCTCGTGTGGTCAGCTCTTGCTCTTCTTATCCTCGCGTTACCCGGCACGATCCTCGTGACCAATCTCTACCCTGCGCCACCACTCCACCGACATTTACGAGGATCATTTCAAGAGCAAGAAGCAACACGAGAGGTACGACGTCTAGACGACAACACTGGTACCATATACGCTTCATCACTACGCTACTACCAACCGCTCGGCAACGAGCCAAAAGCGCAGCACTTGAAGCGTAGGCGGGGAGACCCGCATGATAAAGCGCCTCGTAGACTTGACAAGGCGCTACAAGCCCTGCCCCAGCGCGGCAACGCGCCCGATAACCACCCACACCTCCACATCTGAGGGTTGGTTAACTTCGCCATTATCTGGTTTGCGCTGGGAGCGGCAATCGGACACATGCGCCGAGGAGATAATAGCACCGATGGGCAAACACATGGCCCATACAGGGACGCCCAAGGCAGGTCCATACGGGGGGGCTATCAGCTCTCGACGAACATTCGACGTCTTGATAAAGAGGCAGTGCGGAGACAGCTGAGAGCCATCATCGAGGAGCGCCGCCGCTACAGGGCCAACGCGGCCACAGACCTGGTTGTCCTGTAGGCCTCAATGACGTCTTAAGCCCGAATAGGGGCCGCACTCCTGCAAAGGAGGGCCATCCACCTCTGGCGCCTATGACCCGAGAAGAGATCGATGCGATCAATCGCCGCCTCGGAACCATAGGCCAGAACAAACCTCCTGCTCAGGAGACTCGATCTCCGCGGGGAAACCCGCATGCTGTCTCCAGTCCGGCTCAAACGTACGAGATGACGAGTGACGACGAGCATGAGGTCCAACGAGCCGCAGCAGAGACAGAGCGCAAGCGAGTGGCAGAAGAGCGCAACCGCG